ATTTATGTATGATTAATAATTTTGTTCATATTTTAAATGTATTAATCGATTTTAAAAATAATATCTTGCATCAATCAATTTTAGATTATGATAAATAATAATAACTAAAACATTTACATTTCTAATTATATCTTTTTAAATAATCTTTCTTATTAAAATAAATGTTGTCTATGTATAATGACTTTTTTTTTAATATATTCCTTCCACTATATTTTCATATTTAGTCGCGATTTTATTGACTATAAATATACCTGACAATGAATTTTTAATACGAAACCGTATGTGTATATCGTATGTATGTGAAGACTTGTATATGGAGGGGTGTGCCTACAATCCTTTTGGTTTCTATCTTAAAACATGCAGGTATATTTGATAAATTATAATGTTTAAATAACTAAATAAACAAAACTATAATTTTTTATTTAATATTGTGTTATATTCAGTAGCATATTTTCAGAGAGAAAAAGGTTTCTCGGGTCTTGACCCTCTCCTTTGAAGAAAAAAGGTTCAAAACTTCTAAATCACTAGCTTCAAAGGTACCCAGAAATTCGACGTTCGGAACTGATTAATTATTACGATACAGCTAACGCGCAGTACTTAGATTGTATCGATAACAAATTTAAGACGGCGATGATTTAACTAATTATTTGCTCTTAATGGATTTTGCGACTAAAACGGATATTCTTTTTTTGTTTCTGAAAGTGAATACCGAACGCGAGCACGTAAACACGTGCAGTATTCATAAGCAAATTATATAGTGCAATGGCTTTCACACTTTTTTGTTCGAGTAGCCTTTGTGATACTAATAAGAAAATCCGTAAATGCAAATTTTGAACCACAAGCCGTAAAAAATTATGTATACATTTTAAGTAATTAATTTCTTTATGATTCATTTGCCGTATAAATACAAAATAGAACATAGTAATTTATAAAAATAAAATTATAAATATATATGAGTAACTTATGTTTATAAGTTTTAATTTGAATAATTATATTGTTTTTATTTAATTATACGAAGTACTACCACGTACAGTACTCTTATATTAGTGCTTCTAATTTCACGTATTCATGTAAAAATAAGGTTGGATTTTTAATGACCGCTTAAAATTTTCCGTGAACACGTATTTTTGTATTCATATAGAAAAGTAAGACCTATATTGAATATTAGATTTGATGAAAAAAAAACTTAATGCGCGTATCTGCTCACAAACAATTTAACTACCTATTAATTGTGTCTGCATTTAATTCAACCCAGAATTATTCACAGAGTCCCTAGAATACTCTCGTAAAGCATAGTTTTAGAACCGCTAAGATAGTGATCATTTGGCTCCGGATTCTACATCTGAACGCATATCATGACGGCGGCTTAAACGGAATGTTATTATTATTGTTATTCTTTCGAGTAAGATTGAAAAACAACCCTTAAAAACTAAGGTTTAATTTTCATTTCACGTGTACAAACCTAAAAGTTTATGTTCATGTGCGTGTGTTGGTTCTTTTTATTTTTATTGGATGGATGTAAATAAAAATAAAAACCACCAAATATCTACCCTGACTGCAGTATTTGTGAGCAATCAATGTGACCTGAGTTTATATAAATATATATATTGTATTTTTACAAGTTTAGTAAGACGAGAACCAGAGGATATGAAAATAAAATTGTTAGAAAATCGATTTGGAAAAGTCAACTGGTACATGTACTGTTTAATCTGTATACTGCCGCGACTACAATATGGTTTTGCGTTATTTCACTTTACGTATATATATATGGATAAAACTAAATCTCAATAGGAAAAAATAAATAGTTATAAACTGGTAACGAATAATACACACAACAACTACGCATGGCTTTTTGATGTTTCGGGAAGATCTCCCTTCTATTAGTCAAACCAGTAGAACCACCTTCTCAATCAAACACATAATTTCAGGCTTGCAGGGGTTATGCAAAACATCGTAATATTTACATGATTTCTCATAACTTCGATCCTGAACTGGAACCGAATAACCAACAAAATCAAAGCTTTATACTATTTCTAAAAAATTTAAAAAAAATTGGTAAACATATCACCGAATTCTAATATAATTTATACTTCCTCAGATGTCTATTACCGTAGATTACACCGTTGCGAGTTGTTTATCTCAAGGTTAGTTTTGAACAAGGCGTTAATGTAGGCGATTTTGATACACGCGTGTGTACGTCATCTTTGATGATACTTTTATCCGTGTTTGAATGGCTTTCGTACGTCCCCATTGTATAATCAACTATTGTAATAATTAAACAGTAAACAGTAACTTAATAATTAATACTATTTACTTAATTTTTCATTTAAAGTTCTATAATAATTGTTCATATAATAATATATGATATTATTAATATTGCACTATTGTTTCATTACTGATTATTTACCCCATTTGATTGTAATAGTAAATACAATGTATGACATATTGCTTATAATTTACATAATTGGTTAATTGGTTGTATTAAATATGATAATTTTACCATGGTAAATAAATCGGTTATGTACATAAAAGAATATTAATATATTTCAAAATATTCTTTGTACGTATACAGCAAGTTAAGTTTACACAGTATAATATTGAATACTATGGATAACCAATCAATTGAAATGCGTAGGTGCTGATAGGTGTTTACCGACTTCAAGTTTAATTATATTGTATTATACCAGTGTATATAATATGATACAATTTGAGTGAATTATTCAGCATATTATTATATAATAGTGTGCGAGTTAAAAACAAAATGTATAAATGGAAAATTTAATTTCTGTTTTCAATCATAGTATATAATATAGTATATACGTATATTCGGTTGAAATCATTAAAGAATTATTTAATATAATTTCTTAGATCCTTGTTGATTTGCATTCGCACGGAAATACGAAAACCACTCATACATTTTATCTGTTGCGAAAAGTAAATTATACGATGAAAGTAGTAACGTGATTTACGTACCTTCAGATGGAAACGAAGAGTTTGCTATGTTAGTTGAGAAACATACAATTCAAATTAATCAAGTTTAAAAACAATTTGTTGTTTCCGAAGATGATTAATATTTTTTATTTTGGCTGAATGAGAGTGTTATAAATTATTGCTAAGCTAAATCAGGACTCGTTTTTTATTTTCTCCAGATCACGGTATTTTTTTTACATCAACACTTTTAAAAAAATATACTTCGTTATTATGGATATATCATAATAAAATTTTAATTTATAGCTTTCATCAACATCAATAAAACAAATTACGATTTTCATTATATTTATAATATGTTATGTGAAGTCAAAGACAAAAATATCTCGTTACATGTCTGTTTCGATGTAATACTTATTATACTTCAAATATTAATCGTTTAATATAACATCACATTCGTAGAATTGATAATTTTTAAAAAGGAGTATCATACGACACTTACAAATAAATAATAATTATATTGTTTATTTAATAATTTTCGAGTTTATTAGTTTCTTATGAAAACTTTGGCATTAAAAAAAAAAAAAATAAAAAGGTGTCATCATTAATAATTATCATGTAGTTAAATGTTTCGTGTTCAATAATAAAGATCTGAACGCTAATATTAACGAATACGTAAACTTGATATATTTACAAAATAATATTAAACTTTGATAAATATTCTTATATTTTTATATTTCATCCGTATTTCGGATTATTGGAAATGTTTTTTAATAAACGATTTGTTTATTTATTCATACTTCGTTATTATTAAGAGCATTTTCCGCGAAATAATTTTAGTTCCGTGTGTTTGTTTTCACATTTCAAAGGGTTACGGAATAATGATCCTTCGCGATGTTGGTTTGAAACTATGATAAAACCCGTTGAATGGAAATCAAAATTGAATGCAATTTGTTTTTGAACCGAATCATTAATAAAGTACATGTGTATGCGTGGGCAATACACGTATTCGCTGTAGCGCGTATTTCCGTTGCGATAATTAGCTGGTATTCAACTCTCGTAACGTCGAGAGCGAATAGTGAATAAATAATGAACAAATACTGAAAAGCATTCGATGTACACGTTTTATATAACGCACAACATACGCAATGTTAGATAATGGGCGCGTGTTACAATGTACGTAGCACACCGGAACGGTATGATACATGGGATACGCGATGTACGACAATAATTGTCGATAATTATTATCGTGTTATTATGGTTTCCGTTTATATATTAAATGTTTAAAATGTTAGTTTAAAACCGAACTGTTGCTCACGTCAAAGCGACAGCGACTGTTTGTTGCACGAGATAGACTGATGATCAAGGGGCATTTTGAAAGCTAATAATTAAAGTCGAAACGCTGCGCGAACCGAGCCCGACAGCCACGAACAACGATCACTGTCCAATCTACATCGTCCATCGATAAGAGCAGGGTGCACAATTATTATCGTGCACCTCACGTCACGTCGATCCTGTCGTTCCGGTGTACGATCCGTACGCGATTTTACGTGTTTCCGGTGTTTTTTTGTTCGCTCTACGATCGGCAATTTCGTCCACCGGTCGATTTTCAGCGACCGTTTTAAACCGAGTTTGGCAACGCTTACTTTTACACTAGTCAACTGGGCGACACGAATGTAACTTGGTGAAAACATTCAGTCGCCTAGTTGACAGTGTTCGTGTTTCAAAAGACCGGGTGAAATTCCAGGCAGAGCGAACGTGAAACACTGCCCGTCCTTTCATTGTATATCGACTGTTTCGAGGTGCAGAGGGAAAATTCCTTGAAAAATGCGCCGGCCTTCGGTGATACGGAATACTAAGGTTTGGTAATAAAACGTATTGTACTACAGCAACGGCGAGAGTAACACAAAACGATACACCGGACGGTGACGGAGAGCGGTTTGTGTGTAGGTGTACGGAATAAGGGACGTGAAAAGTTTGCGGGAATATTGCGACGATGATTCGACGAACGCACGCGAACTGGAAAACTTTGATTTGTTTGCTGACGAGTTTCCTCGTGTGTCTGATTGCAGGGTTGGGGGATCAGTGTTTCCAAGACGACACGTGCCAGATGCACGACAAGCACGCGGTGTGCGCACAGGTGGACCACAACGCGATATGCAAGTGCAAACAGGGCTACCACATCGTCACCGTGTCCAGGCCTACCAACGCCAGGAGCAGTTTTTGCGCCCAAGGTGAGTGGCGGACGCGCGCGTCTACCCCCACGGTCCGCGGCCAACCGCGACGTACCCGTGACCGCGCGCGCATTATAAATACTCGCAGATGACATGTGTGTCATTTTACTCCCGCAGATGATTCGGACGGCAAAGCTGGCGGTTCATCGCTTCTCGGCGTCGTAGTCGGCCTGTTAGTGTTCTCGGCGCTCATCTGCTTCGGGCTACGGCTGTCCACGGTCTCCAGGCCTCGGCACTTCCCGACCACCAACTTATATCCGAACAAGCTGCTGTGCTCACGTCAAACTAGTAGGTCGCGTTCGATCGATTTTTCGGGTACCGGTAGGGGTATTCGGGGTGGCGGTCCCTCGCCATCCTCTCCGTATCTCTCACCCACTGCTCCTTCCACCTCGCCCCTTCGTCCCTGTCTCCCTCGCCCTTCCTCTTTCAACCCCATCGTCCTGACTTTCTCTTGCACCCGAGCTACCCTAGCTTTCTCTCCCTCTCTTTCACTCTTTCTCTTTCCACGCATAACGTATATAACTCTTACTCTACCGTTAGAGTTCTCCTCTCCGGCACAGGGACCGCATGCCAGCCGGGATGGGTATACAAACATGAGAGACTGCGTATACACTACGGGTTCTAAGACTGAGTGGGAAGAAAAACGAGTGGAGACACTCCATTGTAAGGAAACCACCTGGTTTTCCCGCGCTCTGAATATAACATAACAAATAAATATATACGCGTATAAATAATGTACATTTACACAGATTTATATATCACATAATGTAAGAGTATATAATAATAAAGCGCGCACGCATAATAACACTCATAAATCGTATACATTTTTGCGTGTGCAGTGCGCGTGTGCTTGTGTACGTCACGTTTAAACCTGCGTGAATTAATTCATGAGCTGTGTGCCGTTCGACACTTGCAATCCTCTCACGTAAACAGGAGACGCTCAACGACCAACGGCCAGTGATAATCACCACTATATATATATATATATATATATTATATGTATATATGTATACATCGTATACACGGTCTTTCGTTATCGCCACCACCGTCGTGTATACGCGGTGTCGGCGACTTGTGAATGATCGGCATAATAGTGGTTCATTCCTCGTGATATCATAATAAATAAGTAATAGGGAGGGTAGGGGTAATGATGTATGATCTGTTTTCTCCCTTTCCTTCTTTATCGCTTCGCCCGACTTTCTAGTTTATTTTATTTCACGTCCGGCAGAATCGAATTTATATGTTCCGGCCAAAAGAGGTAAACGTGTTTTTTTCCCCACATAGATTATTTCATTACTATAAATTTCCATTCATAACGCAGGCCGTCGTGATGTTCAATTGTTGTCCAAATGTACGTGGATATATTATATACCTGTACGTAATCGCCCACGTTGAAACATGAATGGAAATTTTTAAAGCGTGTATATTTAATTAAATTTCCTATGATGTATTAATACAATTGCTGAATCAACTGTTTTTCGAATGAAAAATATTAATTTATTTTATTTTTAATTACATTATAATTTATAGTTGTTACTAGTATTTTTATTACACCCGATGGCTTTTAAATGAAAAATTATCTATGCAATGTACAAAAAAAAAAAAAAAAAATTATAAATTTTATCTTGTTGATTAGTACAATTTGTTATCAATACTAATCCTTTAACTACCACTTTAGATATTTTTAAAAAACGTTTTACATTAATAAAGAATATAAAATGTCATGTTTACGTTGCATAACATAATTTATTGAGTCGTAAAAATTAGTATATTGCAAGGGTCTTCTCTCCTCAAATTTTTGAATACAAGAGCTTTACATAATATTTAAAGGATACCATACTAATATAAACTATATTTCACTGTAAAAAACATAAAAACGTAAGTTATGTTGACCAATGATAATACTAATTAACTTCTAAAACAAATACTTAAAACTTAAAAGAAAATTAAGCTTGAACAATAATTGAAACCCATCCGCTTAATTATTGAAAATAATAATAGATAATAAGTAATGACTAATTATTCAGTCATAAAAATTATAATTATTCAGAATAATTAAGTTTAGGCAACATTTTTAATATTTTTGTATATAAAATGTAACCATGCAAACCTTGTAATAATAATAAACAATTTATAAATAAGTTGTATTAGGTACTTTTTATTGAAAAAAGCGGAATTTCTATACTTTATATCAAAGGTTCCCAACCTGTGGTACGTGAAATTTTTTTTTTAAAGAAATAGTTTTGTTTTTATTATTATAACCGTTCGTTATTATTTAGATTATCTGATTTAATAAATATCTATGACATAGGAAAAAAATTAACGTAGAAGACAACTTAAGACTTAAAGTTACCTACATGGGTCCCGCGGTATTAACGTTCTGCTTCATTCAATACAACATAAATTACTATCCATATCCATTCGTATTCATTATAGTTAACTATAACTGTAAATATTTAACGCTATATTGCTATTTGTTCATTTAATGCTCATGTAATTATATAGTTTAAATTCTTCTTGTTCTTATTCTTCCTCTACTTTCTCTCATTTCCAATAAAGTTTAAATTAATAAAATTAATAATAAAAAGGCTTCATACATGTTAAATAGTATTATTTTATTTGTTAATAATTATCAAACATCTTAATTAAGTAGCAAAAAAAAAGTTTATTAAATCGAGTGGTACATGAAAATTTTTCAAATTGAGAAAGTGACATGCATATATAAAAAGATTGTTACTCTATTGAAACCGTTACTCTAAAAAAGTTGAATTTGTAAATTAAGACATTTGACTCAACAATTTAGAATGATTAGATGAAAGTCTAGTTAGTTTAAGGAAATGTTATATGCATCTCTGTATGTTTCATAAATCTGTGTTCTGTCAAACAATTTCAGGTGAGTACATTTATTAATATAACAATAATTTATCGTATCGATAATCATAAATAAATTGTTTAATGTTATGTTCTTCGCAAATGGTATTTTTCATAAAATTTTAAGTTCTTTATTAATTATTGGTGTCGAAATAGAAATTAAGTACTTGAAATAAGTAGTTTCACAACCGCAGGGAAACCATCAATAGTTTCATTGTAAATGAGTCACATGTTATGTGAATAAATCTACGTCGTTATATTGGTAAGCTGTAAAAGTGTCTTTAATATATTAATAATGGAGAGAAGTACCGTGTGAATTGAATAAAATAGAATTTCTAATTTAACGAACTTTATGGTTCTTTGTAAATAATTCATTGAACATGATTTTTTTTTTACAAAAAACTCGTTTTTACTCAATGAAATGTTAATAAATAATAATTAACATACCTAATTATAACTAAAAAAAATAATAATAATAATAGTCATAATATTGTATAGTAATAAACAATAAATAATAATAATACAATAATGTTATTAGGTATGTTGAGTAATATGTAACTTATAAACAGTAGCTGGTACCAGGTAAATTTCTATTTTATTCCTTTTTATCGAAAAACCATAAGAATGTTGGTAATGATTTAAAGAATTAACAATGTAATTTGGTACATTTTCGGTACGTTAAAATCCACGACAAATAGTTTTGCTATACTTTTAAAACCTCCGGGGTGCAAATATAATTATGTCACTACAAAATTATAATGATACGAAGTTGATTTTTCAAATTATAAAAAAGATTTTTGACGAAAATTTCACAGATTCTGCAAAAAAAAATTCGTCACGTTTCTCGAGAGTTCCGCCGAATAAAAGTTAAATGTTAAACAGAGGCGCGTTCGTAACGTGTTATTATTCGGTACGTTAAAAATCGAATTTCGAAATGTCGTTGAAACGGTGGAGGGATCCGCGACCGATGGGTGACCATGGTTGTGCGATCATCGTGATCGTGATCCTATCGTTACCCCGACACCACTGCAACGCCTACCGATAGAATCTGTAATAATCGTGTGCGGGTGACGATGTTCGCAGAAGCTTCATCGAGTAAACATTACGGCACGTCGGACTCCGCGGCGGCGGCGGCGGCGGCTGCTGCGGGGGCCAACGGACAACAAGAGGACGGGAGCAGCGCCGGCCAGTCGTCGGAGCCTAAAGACGACGACACCAGCAGGGTAAGCGCTGCCAGAGCAGCTGCTTTCATATTGATCTCTTGCCGGCCGTCTACCACGGAGTCGCCGACGGCATCCCCGGGCAGGGTGAAAAGGGCGAAAAAATTGGGTACCTAATAATAACAATAATATAATATCTATACGTTAATTATGTGACTACACGCGTGGCACGCGCGACCGCACATGGACGTCACCGTCCGACGGCACACGCGCTCGTGGGCGCTACGATTACAAATCGTCGAATTTGCTTTTGACAGGTTACGGCCGCACCGGCAGCGATCCAGCTGTGCACAGTACATCTTCCATGAAAACGTACAATTTGAAATGGTATCAAAGGGACCAGCAGCGAAGGCATTCCACAAAGAACAGAGAAGCCAAAGGCACTCCGCCTAGTCATTGTTCGACTGAACAACTAATACAAAACTGTTCCAAAGTAAATAATAATGATAATAAGAAAAAACACACACACACACACACACACACACACACACACACACCCACACCCACACACCCACACCCACACACCCACACCGATAAACACGTCTAAAGCAGAACAATTCGAAATGGGATTCTTGGTAGCATTATTATTAGTATTATTCTATTTTACCGCTAATACTTCAGCTGCCGGTCGTCGTCGTTTTCTTCGGTGCATATTCGTCCCGATACGTCTTGTAACGTCTTATTCGTACAACGAATTCAAAACGTGATAAATTACCTTCCGCTTTACAACTACGGCTCGTTTTATTTTTACACTTCACAGCGGGTTTTCATTGTATTGGTTCCACGTATAATACTTGATGATACGACGAGCAACATAAAATTGCCCTAAAAGAAGTTGAACGAATTTATATGGATCATCAGTTGACCAATGGCTTACACATCTGTCCACTTTATACCGAGCTGTATTTTATTAAACGTTTTTATTTTATTGAAATACCATTTTTAGAATAAATAATTATTTAGTTAAATAAATTTTAGTCTAGTATAGACGTAGTAATAACGTTAAATCAGAGTGCGAGGTTGAAAAAAACGATTAAAATGAAATATTCATAAATAAACGGTTTAAAAATGTGCAGCTAGTCAATATTGCTAAATATAACTTCATTATAATAACACTATTAATACAATCTTTGTAATTTTTCTCTTTTTTGATTCCATTAGCTACCATTCAATTTTACGAACAGCTTTACGATGAAAAAAAAAAGATTCATTTTTCATAAACTCGAGCGATACTATAGTTTATAAATTATATGTTACTTAATTGTCATTTATATGAAACTTTTCATTTTAAACAAGAGTCAAACGTGAAAACTTATTTAATAATTTATGATTCTTTTAAAGTAAATCGTGCTTGAATTTCAAAGAACAATAAAATAGGTACCTTTTGTGCTGAACGTTTATTATATGTCGTACAAGTTATATAGTTGACAATAAAAAACAACTTATTAACTGTAAATAGGCCAGACGAATTAACATTTGATATTCCAAATCTTGATTCAACAAAATACAACCGATGTTGGTAATCAATAACACAAAGTTTGTTTGAACAACAGCTTATCGAATCGTGCAAACTTAAGTTTCCAAATGCACGTATACGTATATATGCATACGATTGATGGTGTTTTAAATAATATAATTTTTAGTTGTACGTTTTAAAAATGCTATCGTTGCCACCGCGTTTCATTATATTACTATTACGTAATATTTTTTTTCTCTACCAGAATTCCACTAAATTACATTATACGAAATGAAAGAGAGTTTAACCGTTTTTTGCTATTTTCCAATATAGTCGAATCTCCTCGACAGATAAAATATTAAATTCCGGATTTCTAACCTAACCGTCGCCAAATGTAAGACACGCCTGCACTGTAAATCGTCAAGGATTGTTTTATGTGTCGCTTGTTCGCAGGAAGAATGTTCCAGAAACAGCCAAAGCACGTTGAATTCCAAAGACAAGTCGAAAGCGTCGTCGGTGAGTCGTATCGAGCACAAAGCGCTGGTTCATCACTCGGCCGTGAGTAGCAGCCCGGACGCTGCGGTAACCATCGAGTTACCGGAACAACAGCCGGAAGGTGTTGCACGAGGAACGCGATGAAATGGAGCATGTACCTACAACCGTTAATACCACTAAAACACGACACCTGAACACTTCTACCGCGTACAAAATCTGTACTGCGAATGCAACGACTGCAACCTACTGTCTTCTACTACTGTTGCAGGAGACGAAGAGAAAACGATATAAAGAACAGTTCCGGACGTCCCACGAGGACATACGGCGCAGGTGTCAAAACGTGCGCACCACGTTTACTTGTTAAGCATACATTATATTATTACCGTTAATGTTATTATTATACGGCTAGCGACCTCATCGTCGAGTGTTGTCACGTGCTGTCACCACGTCGCCGTGTCCGAGTCGTTTTAATCAACTCAAAATTCAAAATTAATACTTCCACTACGAAATTCGTTATACAAGGAAAAATATTTTTATATTATTTTTTGTATAAGTTTTTTTTTAAGTATATATTTATACACGTATATACTATTAGAAAATAAAATTAAAAATAATAATAATAATAATAATGATTATTGTTATTGTTATCGAACTTAATATGTGTGTGTGTTTGTGTCCATGTTAGTCCTGTATTTAAACTATTATCTAAATGTATTATTATGAATTAATATTATAGTATTATCTAAATACCCAGTAAATAAGAAATATTTAGTTAATGTGTAATAATTAAGCACATACGACGCATGCAGAATAATACCAATATTGGTAAATACAATTTTATTTATTTTTTTGTATTAATAACGAACAACAGTAAAAGTTTAACGATTCTACAAACTATTGCAGAAGTGTTTCAATTCGTATATAATATAGTCATTCGTTAAAACTGCGATTTCGGATTAAAATATCTTAGAAAGAAATAATATGATATTACATGAAAATATTGTATACGTTTTAATTTAATTTTAATTTCAGTTAAGTATGTATTTTGAGACTATATTATATAAAACAAATAGGGGTACTACCTGTTATACAATTGGACTGTTGAAATGAAACGATATTGATTGCATATAATTTATGTTGTATGTGTTATACGATTGAATCACAATGCATAGTTATAGATCCCCTTAGATAATGTACGTTGTATTTTTGATCAAGACAATAAGGCATAATATTATTAAATAATAAATATAAAATATCGTTGAGTATTGTACGTGTGTTCAGCGCTCACAGTATACAGGGCGGAAGAAATTTAACCATAAACATTTACTCGATGTACAAACAATATGAAATTTAACGCCGAAGGCTGCAGTTAGAGATTGTTATAATTATATTATATTATACGTGTTGATTAGATATTTAAGAAATATAAATGATACATATAATGAATAGCTGTAGTTTAATACTAATATTTAATATTAAATAAAAATTCCAATCGATTTGTATTTCATTTTTAATGTTATTTCGTAACATAATTTAAAGGCGTGTGATTTGTGTATGTTTTAATTAGTATAAAAATATAATCATGTACCTATATTGCAAAACTATTTTAAACTAGCATCCATTGTATTTTAGAATAATAATATAACAATTCATAATTCTGTGAAATAAGAAAACAACAGGATAATAGTTTATAGAAGACCGTATTGAAAACAGCAGTTAACGAATTGTGTTTCGACGAAATTCTGGTAAAAGAGATGTGTCTCAATGATAAAAATGAGGTACACGAGTTGTGTCTTAAAAGAAAGATAAATTTAAATCGATATTTTACACAAGGATATTATATATTGTTTCATAAATTGAAATGAAAATGTTTTTATAAATTCAAATCCAGAAGTGTATCCATTATATTGTTATGTAAATACCTAAGTATATTGTATAATCCTTTTACTAAATAAAAATCGATTCTGCCCATTATTATTGTCATTGTACGTTTACGATCATTATTATTTACAAATTCATATTTTTTTAGATATTATTATTTTTGAAAATACTTACAATTATTATTATTATTATTATCATATACAGATACATAATTATTATTAAAAATTAATTTAACAACAACTTTTATTCTTGTGTATAATGTTATATGGATAACATATGTTCAATATTGTAATTGAAAATGTACCAATTTGTGTATACAACTTATGTAAAAACCTGTATATTTTATTTTTCGGGACATAATTCCTGTAACCCAAAATAGTCCATCGGACACAACACGTGTAACCCGAAAAAATACTCTAGACACAATTCGTTTGTAGCCTTGAAAACGATATAGTTTCTTTATTTGAAAATTTAGTACTCATATGTGTACTATAATTATATATCTAATATCTATATCGATCTCGAGGTTCTATAATATTATATTAAATCTATTTTACAGTATTAACATTCAATATTTGAATGTTATATAATAATACTATATTAATTTAATTCTTTGTTAAAATATAGTACTATAAATAACGTAAAAAGTATATGAAAAATAGGTACATATTCGTAAAATATTAAATGTAATTTCTTACAAGGTGACACACACGTCGAAACAACAACACTGAACATATTTCAGTATTACATTTCATATTCCCATACAGTGCGGTTTATTACAAGTAACAAGCTCGTATATTATGAAAAACGAAATGTGAACAGATTTGTCCTTGAAAATTGACTTAAATTTATATTTCCCTAAAAATCTAAAGTAATATACTAATATGGAAGTTTGATTTTATTTAGAAAAACTTAGCTTTTCTTCCATATATTATTCAATGCTTTTGGATTGATATCAAAGCTTAGACCAAAATGACAGACTCATTAGTTTAAATAAGTAATTTGACTCCGATTAGTTTTTTTTTTTAGATAATGTCTGATTTGGACGTGTGTGGGACCATACATGACTTTTAGTGTATAATAATTTTCCGCCATATCATCGAATTTACATTTGTTTTTTCTTCTTTTGATAATATCATTTATTTATTGTCACTGAAAACTGGACTTAAAAGGGTTTGTTTTGACGCGTTATATGGCGATAATAATGTCGGATTTGAAAATAATTATAAATATAAGAAAAAAACATTGAAGTCGTTGAATTTATAATGGGTATTATAAATTCGTTGCTAATTTATATGATTTAATTGTGTATTGCATTCGAAGGATGTTAAATGGTAATATTATAAAACCATGTTGTATGGTTGATACGGTAAATGATACTCAATACTTATCCATATGGCGGAAAATTAAAAAAAAAAAAAGATTTGTATTTATATTTAAAATTATGGATTTATAACGTTTTGGAGGTTTATGAATATGATATAACTAAATATACAAGTATAATATGTACTTATCAATACGCATTGCTAAAAATAAACCCCGTGTCATAATGATTATTGTGTGTTATATTATTACAATGTTAAAAACGTCAAATTCGTGTTTTTATTTAAAATCCTACTTATCTTTCAAGTATCTCCTGAAAATGGTAGAAGAGCTCATACCATATCGTTTTCTAACAGTTATTAAAAACTTCTAAAAACCTTTTACTATGAAAATGAATAAAGATTTATTTTTATAAGGTACACACCTGTATGATATGTTATTAATATCAATTGGATGGATATTAATTATACGATCATTAGCTAATCTTATATTCAACTACAATTAAAATCAAAAAAAGTATTTTATTCCAAAGTAATGTAACATGGGAATATGAATTTTTATTTGTTTGTCACTGTACTACACATTATAACAATACAATTATTTGTTTCAAAAAAATGTCTCGTTATTATTTAAATTATACTTCCGTAGAATTAAAACGTCTTAATTACTATCCCAATAATGAATGATAACTTTATCATAAGTAATTAATTATAAAAGTTTGTAGTATATATATATATATTTTTTTTTTTTTTTAGTTAAAACTTTCAGTATAAAGTTTTTAATATTCATTTCAAATATAAAACAGTAAAGAATAATTAACTGCTTATGAAATTAGCAATCATTCATTTTATTATATCAATACTAATAATATTGTTATTTTCATTACAACAATTATGTATTACCACTAATGATGTGTATAGTTTTTTAGGTAGTTATATATTATATATTTTCCATAAATATTATCGTAAATATAGTATATAAGTGTGGTAATAGTTAATGAAACCAATTGTTTAAGATATAGGTATTCTTATTAACAATCGTGTACTAACAAAGCTATGTCTGATCCAAGTCCAATTACTTTTATGAGTGTTAAGAAAATATTAGTTATTATTTTGACTAAAACTAAAAATAAAAGACAGTTACTTACAGTCCACCTCTAGACATAATATTTTTTTTTTACTATTTTTTGTTTTAGTCATTAGACATTACAACAAAAATCAACATAATACATGTATTGGACTTTAAATTATATTTTTTAAATGCAATAATTTGTATTTAAAATCATGGTTTAATCAATTATTAATCACCATCAACAAGTAAAATAAATATAATAATTGATATCACTTATTTTTTATTACATTATACAGAAAATAGAAAATAGTTAAAAATATGATTCATTTTAATTAATAAATATTGCGTGGAAATTAGTGTTATTATTTTAATACACAGATCTGTCATTTTACGAATTTTTCAGAGACGATAAAATTTTTAATGCTGTTTTATTGCCTGAAGTGTTGATAACTAATTATAAAAAATAAAAAAATAAAAACTTGATGAATAAAAGCTTAAATCTAATGATTGTATCAATATATTTACAACATTCATTAATCATATTGATATGTATGCTAATCGTAATGCATATAGCAGTTAAGCAAAAACGAAATATAAATATTTAGATTTAATAACGGGTAATCAAAAAAAGATTATTATAATGGATTTATTATAAGCATTTTATACGACCTCGCGCTATTAATAGCTCAACATAATCTAGTGTAAATTTGTAATTTAAATAATAACCATTTGACAGACGTTACATAATAATATTATATAATATTATTATATATTATATGTATTTTTAAATTTTAAAATTAGTGTTTTATGTATAATTATTATTTGAACTAAGTTAAATGTGACATAAGAGTGTATATTTTTGATATAATCTGACTATTTATAAAATATGATTGAGGGATGTATATGAGAATTATAGTTCAATTGCAATTAGTAAAAATGTAGGATTAAAAAAATAGGAAGTTTAATTTGTATCATAATATTTGTCACTAACTGGTGGAACCACAGTATAATGACAGTATACGATGTGGTACAATTTTAAACTAGTTCTGTGTAAAGATTAGTAGACAACAAAGAAGTGTAGTATTATATTTTTATTATAAATTTCAGTTTTTGGCTTTCGGTTGCTATCGATTGAACTTATATCATTGATATTTTGTGGCTAAACCGTTACACATAGTGATTCCCAAATTTTTTGTTCCACGCCCTGTTTTAAAAAATTTCATGTTCTCTTTGTAAATTAAAAAAATTGATTTATTTTTAATTTTTTATTTGTATTGTTATTTTATACAATTAATTTACGTAATGATTATTATTTATTTGTTAATAAGGTACTTGCACAATATAGAGAGAAATACAGCTAGAGTTTGATTGGTGTAACTAGATTTCACTAAACGTATGTTTTCACAAAATTAAACACAAGTTCTCTAAGTAGAGCAATCATAAAAAGCAAATAGAGCAAATCTTTCTAGATACGTCTGTGATCTATGTACATTTTATAGAATATATTTCTCTCAATTGATCGAATAGATGCAGTACTGATCACATTGTCATTGGAAATTCTTTGTATTTTTTCGTTCAACAAATCAAGTCGAATATCCTTGCTCCATACAGCATTGCATATTGTTGACATAATTACGAACAAATATGTGTAAAAAAATATAATATGTAAAGTTTACAAAAAAAAACAAATTACCGTGCTCTAAATGGTATATTTAATTAGGCGAATATATCTAGAATAATCTATTTGAGTCCAATCTCAGTGTATATTTTATATCAGTGTTTACTCTAATAATTTAACTAGATAAAAAGCGATAATTGCTAGAGAAAAAATATATTCCGTTTAATTAAATATGTAAATTATAAATTATATAAAATTAGTTAATTGCTTACGAATTTTTTATTAAATGAATACTCGTAAATTCATGTTCATATCGATAATTTATATATATTTATATTTCGCTGTCGTCGTTCAAAAGGATTTCTATCATGTAATATTCACCATTGGTATTTTTCGCGGATGATTATGACTTTAATGCATCGGAATGGTTGCAGTTTGCGTCCGTGGACGAGGAGAGAATAAATAAAAAATTATGGGCGGTCAATGATCTTATTAAAAATACTAATGTATGAAAGAATTTAACTATAAATTATCAAATATAATTGTGAATAATTACGCTTGCCCGGGATGTTATTATTGCGAAATGTGTGCAAAAGTGTATGACTATTTTCGATTCGGAGAAACGCTATAGGTAGAGAAAACGCGTTCGCATGATAACGGACTACCAGTGTGGGATTATTCAAACACACGCGGGCCGCGGACGGAGCGCTCTCTGTTGGACGCATGGCACGACATCTATGCGAGACTGGAGCAGTGCCCGGACGAACCGATGCGCGGCAGACTTTCTGCGCATGCGTGGTGACATACCACAGAATGGTAAACACGGATAACAACAACTGGGCCGAGATAGCGTTTTGTTTATTTGTATGAGCGTCTGATTACAATCCGTTGGCTCCGAGTGATACGGTCGTCGCGCATCCACAGCGGAATGTCTCGCGGTCTATGTTTTCCGTCTTACATTCGTTCGGCTGTCGTAGTTTTCACGCACATATCCGTCCGGCCGACGTGATCACAACGCAACCACGGTTATTTCGAAGCAGCAGCAGGTACAACCACTCACGCACACGTCCGGGCCGTTTTGTCTGCGAGTTTTTTGTGCCGTTACACCCACGGACGCCAAACGCGGGGCCGGTGTTGTGTCGGTGTTGACATTATTATTATTATTTTTTTCTTTGACCCTCTCATCGTTTACCGAACCGTCGCACATATTTGTTTCATCGTTCGTCGTCCGTCTGACCATTACCACGTTTTGTTCTTGTCGATCCAGTGATGTGTGCGTGACGTGACCGAACCATGAGCAACCGTCCATCCTACTACCACAACCATTCGTCGTTCTCCAACAATTCCCTGGCCATCTGCAAAGAAATCCAGCGTTTTGAGAGCGTTCACCCGTCCATATACGCCATTTATGATCTCATCGAGCTCATACCCGATCCAATTGTTGCTCAACAAGTCAGAGACCATGTCGTTTGTATTGAAGGTAAGTCTGTTATTTTAGTTACTCCACCCATTATTCTCATTTTGATTACCTTTGGGTGGCAGTGATTTATAATTAATTGTTACCAAATATGTATTGTAAGTTCAATTGAATAGTGATATATTTTTCCATTCAACTTTGCATTTAGTTCTGTTTCGATACTTTAATTTTTATTTTTTGATATGTTTTAATGCTTTTAATTCACATTCGTATAAAATAATATACTATTTTTCTGATATTAAATTATCATCTTACTACAGGCTATCTAACAACTGATTTTTTTTTTTAGTTGCTATCTAAGAATTTATTTTTAAATTGTTAACAATTATAACTTAGTTATTATATTTGCAATAATAGACTTTAATTGAATATAATGATTGTAATTTATTTCTTATCTTATAATTATTTTTATGATGCTGGAAAATTTAATTTTGTATTAATCAAACTCATTTGATAATTAATTATTTGGAATGATATGTATACAATATTTATTAGGTTTCATTAACAATTACAATAAATTTAAAGATGTATATGGAGTAAGTGACATATATGAATAAATTATAAAAATTATGATTAGTAGTGAACATTTTTTCATGTGTGTCTTAGGAAAAATAATGATAATAGTTTTGTGTTTTTATTGACATAGTTGATGTATCTCTGACATCTACATAACCGTCTAATTATTTAAAAAGATGTAGTTTTACTTATCAAAGATATTTAGATTATTTTTTATTTTAGTAAGCTATTGTCCAGAAACAATATTTGAATAACTGAATAACTAATATATTGAAAATTGAGTTTTCACACATATATATATATATATATGTACACACACAAATATTAACTCCTGTAATGATAATGCCATTTATGGATTATACAGCTCTGTTGAAATTAACATGTATATCAATATATCAAATTATTATATGTATACAGATAACTTTATAATACATTAGCATATATTATAATACCTATATATATATATATATATATATATATATATATTTATACACATTTTACAAGTAAAATATTTACCCAATACTAATTTTTACTTAAGTTACTGGTAGTTGTTGATTTAAATGTTATAAATGAGTGTAAAATAATCAGTGAATTTCATGGGTACTTTTTTTTTAAAATATATTTTAATCAAATTGTTTATTGAAATAATTTTATTTAGATCTTCTGTATTTCTGTATCATCTAGTATTTGATGAATAAGTTTGTAAAAAGTGATATCTAATAACAAATATATGTAATGTACTATTTAATCCGAAAAATTAAAATGTTAGTGATGACCATGAATAAAAATAAAATACTTCTTCCGCTATATATTGTGACCAATTGACCCAATTTTTTTGTGAATTTTCAATGTCCTTCCCCGCCCCTTAAAAGAATCGTTAAGAAACCGGTTAGACGTCAGCATTGTTTGGCTTCTCAACAAATTATTTACGTATGTGTGATGCTCGTAGCAAATCTGCTTGCCACTTCAGGTCACTGGAAGTCAGAATCCGTATCCGTGCGTTGACTTATAATCTCCCGAGTGAGCACTTTCAATTGAATCCAACATAAGTTAGCGGTTTGTTCTGTCTTTTATTTATTACTAAATCTATGCAGAACAATAATAATTAATAATTGTTACTAAAGCTTTTTGTAAATTATAATCGTTGTAATTATCCTTTCATGGGAAATTTTTGGGAATTCTTATTGTTATAGTTAATGTGTATTATGTGAAGTATTATGTAATGCGTTTGGTCCAATATTTAATAATAGTTACGATTTTATTTTTTTGCCATGTTTTGTTTTAATGATGTTAAATTTTGTATTACGCATTTACATGTGCAAGTAGGTGATCGGTATAATTTTAAATTGTTGGATTTTTTTTCTATTATTATCTAGTAACATGTTCGACAAAGTAGAAATAGAATTTTGGTACCTAAATACTTCAATTTATTCATATATTACGATTCTCCTAACCGGTTTGTGTTTTTGCAATGATTGTTTTTTTCCCTATTACCGATCATTGGTAAATATATTTTATGAAGTTAATGAATGGAGTTCTAAGATCAATATCATATTAGTGATTAAATATATATAGTTTAAATATTATAATTTTTAGTACAACAATAATTTAATATCCTACGTTGATAAATATTTTAGTATTTAAAAATAACTTGAAAATTAAAAAAATATACTTTCTAACCCATAAGTAAAATATATATACCTATTAATAACTGAAAAATTGATTTTCAACTTACTGTTATGACTATGAGTATCGTATATATTTGGATTACATCCATTGGTAATTGGCAAACTTGCAATCGTATGGTAAATACAACTAATTTCTATAGGAAATAAATACCGTTTTAAATTTAGATATTCAGCCTTCCTTTGATTATTTTTCCTCGTATATATTTTTTTAATTTTTTTTTTTTATTGAACTTTAGCTTCGACAGCAACGACCATTAGTTCTGATGAATATTTACATTATTTTCAGTAAGTTTGTTATATACAGTATGGCAACTATTGACATTATTATTATTAATATTATATGTATTAAAATATTTCTGTACTCTTGAGAAATTCGATGATAGCTCTTGGATTGGTATTCGGGACCAATTGTTTCAAAGAGGTTCTTGTCTATTTCGTATTATTTTCTTTTTTCTCCGTTTGCTCTGCATTCCGTCATTATATGTTTAACCGTTAGTATCATTTCACACGAAACGCATTTGAATGGTGGGTTGTTTTGCTTAAGATCACCGTATGTAAGATGTTTGTGGCCAATTCTCAGTTGGTTTATTAAGAGATTTATGGTTATTTCTGTTTTTCTTAATGTTTTTGATTACTTCCTGGGATTAATATTCTATTTTATTTCTCTTAGTCTGGGATTAATATTCTATTTTATTTCTCTTAGTTCTGTCTATTGATTTAACTAGTGATTTTTTACAGATATTTTGCAGGATTAATTTTATATGATTTTTGTGTCTATTTCTGTATTATATTTTAGTTCGGAAGCTTTGTATTTTTAACATGTATATTAGCTAATTTGTTTCCTTCAATGTCCCGTTAACAAAAAAAAAAAAAACTGGATATTCTTGTTTTATGCTTTTAAATGTTGAACATTATTTATTTTATTAGTTGTGTTATCATTGGTGTGAAAATTATTTTGAATATTGATTATAGTGTTTAGAGAATCCAAGAAAATGTTAAAATTTTGGTTGTGATAGTTTTCTAATTCATTAAGAGCTGTAATAACGGGGATGGTTTCAACATTATAAATTGACCATTTTTTTACGATTTATGTGTTTCGTTTTTAATTATAACTACTATACCGTTATCTTGTTCAATTTTAATATATATATATATATATTAATTTTTTTAGAATAATTGTATTTATTTTTATTTCATAATTCAAAAAATATATAAACATAGTACCTAGATAATATAAAAATCTAAGTTTTTCAGAAATTTTTCCAAACCTAAGAAAAATCCACGAAAATTGTTAAATTTTTTTAAACAAATAAAATTTCTGTTTTCGCTATAAGAATCAAAATAATAGTACAATTTGTATTATATTCTTACTATAAATAAAATATCCCTGATATACTATGATTTTTATGTTACAATTGTATGTACCTATATATTATTACAATTAATTTAAACTAAAAGTATATTTTGAATACAAAAGAATACTATTACTTTTGATTAATTTAAAAATTAAAGACCTCTGGCACACAGATGAGTGCCGGGTGTGCCCGGGCACCCCCGAAATTTTTTAAATGGGTCCCTATAATTTATGTCTAAGAGTAAGGGTCCGTATTTTAACTGATGTTACTCAAATTAAATATAAGATTTAAAATGGACTATAAAATTACAAATCCTAAATAATTGAAACTTTCTGAGGAAACTATACGAGATTCACGGAAAGCAGATTCATTGGGACTAATGTACCACAATATTAAATTAAAATTAAAGTTCTGTTTATTTAATTATTTATGCATTATAATTTATTAAATAAACCTATATGTTTTGTTAAGATAGGGCCCAAAAGTATAATAGGCACCTCCTGAAGTACAGATGTGCGCACGTCTAGTGTACTCTAGTGTATTGTGCCTTGTGGCCCAACCAAGTTCTTTAGGTCAATAGCTGCAGCTTCTAATTTAATAAAATTATTCTTAATTTACACTAAAAATATTAAAATGCAACTTATTTTGAATACATTTCTTAGTCCAACAATATGTAAATAACTATATTTCAATTTTTCATCAAAAGAAAATGTAAAAGTATTTATAGATAATTTTATGTTTGTTTTTGAAACGACCAATCGTTATCTATAGATATAAGATATAACTTAGGGGTTGATTATATTTTAGTAGATTGGTTTCACCCTTAAGAAATTATTTTCAAAATAATCTATAATCTCTTTAATATAACTTTGTCTAGCGTAATATTTCATTTCGTATACACTATTTTTGCGGTTCTTAACCTGTGGTCTATGGCCCCTTAGGGGTCTGCGATACTAATGTCGGGGGTCTGCTATAGCTTTAACACGTAACATACGTCAATACGTGACATGAGTGCATTATTACAATATTATTGGATTGTTATTATTTTTTTTTCATATATAATATATTTTATTCTATAAGAGATAGATTTTATCTTTATTACGATATTCAAAAACTTGTGTCTCAATTACAAAACCAACCATCACATTAAGTAAATAAAAATAATATTTTAAGTTTATTAAAAAAAAAAAAATTAAAACTAAATTTATTAAATTTAAATTAACTGATAAATTAAATGTAATAAAAATAATTATAAATTTGTATGTTTTGTTGTTTACTTATGTAATTTATTATTACGTATAATATAATTATTATAATTTTAGTTTTGATAATATGAGATGTTTTGTAAAAAAATGAATTCGTAAAAAAATTGGTGAGGGGGTCCACGATTTCTAAAAATCTTTCATTAGGGAACCGTGATCTTCAAAAGGTTAAGAACCACTGC